CCTAGCTCTGCTGACCTGAGCTGGTGAGGACACAGGAGAAGAGGGCACAGTGGGGACACTGACTCCCTTATGACCAGGCACAGTGTCGGCACAGTGTGGGGCTGAGCAGAAAGCATCACCCTGGAGTCAGAGCAGAGGGAGCAACAACAGGACGCGCTGGGTGGCCGTCCCTCCTTCCGGACCAGCCCGTCACCTGGTCCTGCTGCTGCCCCCTCTGCTCACTGTCCCTCCTGCATCTTGAGCTCACCGCAGAGAAGCCCACAGCTGCCAGGGCCCTGCCCGCTCTCCCCCGTCTGTCTTCGCAGTCACGGCTGGACACCTGGCCACTCAGTGCTGGCCTCGCACCCAGCATCTCACAAAACCAAGCTGCCTTCCACCAACACAGTGGCCCCAGCGCCCGCCGTGCCAGAAAGTTTGGAATGACCTTTGCCTTCCTGTCCCGCGCCTCCACCATCACACTGCCTTTTGCTTAAGTATTTGCTGAATCCCACCCATTTCTGTGCATCCCCACCACTATAACACGAAGACTCTCTTATGGCGGGCTGGTTCGTCACAACATGGAACGTCTTACTTATAGGATGGTCACCTTTAAAAGATTCAAGTGCAAGGACCTTGCGATGGCCCGGGTGCAGCTGATGACCCGGCTGCGAGGAGACACACACGGACACCGCCTGACCTGGCGCAGCTCTGCTTACACAGCTTCAGAGAAGTGGTTTCAGCACCTCTGGGCAGTAAGCCCCCGAAATACTTCACCTCCCGGATACTTGCAAATGTCATTCTTTCTAAATTAAACCCTTCAGGCTACGCTTTAATTAAGCTCATCTCCTCTTCTGGAGATGGAATTCAGATTTATTTTCGCCTTCAGCGTGTAATGTGAAAAGAACATTACATTGTGGAGACCTGGGCTCTGGTCCTAAATTCCGTCGCCTGCGTGCCCATGTGATCTTCAGCTTATTTCTGAACTTCCTGTGGCTCAGAACCCTTCCCTGTGACAAGGCCAGGGCTGGGTCACCCGGCATCCTCCAGCTCGCACACCCTGTAGCCCCTTTGTTGCTTTGTGTGCTGGGCCAGGACACCTCCAGCATCTCTAGCAGCGGTTCACCAGATGCTCACTGTTTGCCGTGGCACCCCGAGAACGTGCGGGTACTCCAGCCCTGCCTCCTTACCGCCAGGGGCAGTCCCCGTCCTGTGCACACAGGTGGGAGGAGGATCTTCTTCCTGCCCAGCAGCTTCCTCAAAGTCATGGAAGCGTGTTCTGGAGTACCCACCCCCTGTGCCGTGCTACAAAAAAAAAAAAATCACTACATTAATTATCGTGCACCACACGCATGTCCACACACAGGTCCACATGTGAATCTCGTGGGGCAGTGATGGGGCGCCGGGTCAAGGACAGACAAAGGTTTCTGCTGCCCCAACCCTCCTTCCTGCAAAGAGCTAAGTGCACTTAAATAATTCCCATTTTACAAGTGGGTATGAAGGAGTTTATGGCCCAGTGTCATGAGTCAGTGCAGGCTGGGAAGGGCTAGGTCAGAGCTCGGGGAGCACCAAAGTACTTAAAAGAATTGACCAGAGCCCAGGTCTCCACAATGTAATGTTCCTTTCACGTTACACGCTGAAAGAGTGAAATTCTTTCTCTGTGAGCCGGTGTGGCGGGTAGAAACCACACAGAGTTATTTCGGTATTTGAATAAAACACATTCTTCCTGCCTTTATGTGTGCAAGATCTGAACTGTGTTATTCTAGCTTATATCTTTCAATGGTTTTATGACCTTTGAGTGCTGTGATTAATAGGCAGAGTTGTTTCGGGCAACTTTCAAAGATTTATTTTTAGGTTTCAGTAGGTAGATAAGCTATGCTATGACTATTCATAAAATGTCTAGGTGTTTAGGCACTGGGCACTTTTTCCCCATGCGTGGTCCTTAGAAGCACATTAGATCTTAGGAATCAAGACACAGGCCAGAAGGAAGACATAAAAAGCTTCTGCAACGTTTTTATAGGTGCTTCGAAATACAGGAGTTGTTCTGCTTTGCGGTTCTGATCTCAGAAGACTCCGGAGAACGTGTACCGTTCCAGATGCTGTGGCATCAGGAGGAATCCAGTCCCGGACGCAGCAGGTGGGGGGCTGGCCATGCAGACTCAGCACCGGCGTGGTTCTCGGCAGTGTGCATGTTTGCTGTGCATCTGCTGTCCTGCGTGTGCTGCTCCAGTTACTCTGCAGGGAGAGCAGCCTGGGCACGGACGCTCCCCAGACGTTCTGCTGTTCTTTGTGTCTTCCAGGGTTCTGCACTCTCATGTGCGCCAGACACATCACAGTTCAGATCTCAGTGCCGTATCTGGGTGATTGATTCTAAAATTAGTGGGGACAAGTTACGAATAGAAAACAGAGAAACCAATGTGATGTGCACACCGTAGGTGGTCACACTTTGCGAAAGAGGATTGCCAGGTGTGCTCTGTGCCGTGGCCATAAATGCCCGCGAAGCTTTTCCTCATCACTCTTAATCACTCCTGCTTTGTCCTGGAGTGCAAACGATGGCATTTGGAGGGAGCTCTCAGGTGTGGGTGCTCTCTGCAGCGTTCTGGGCCTTCTTTTTGGTTTCTGAGGCACCACATCTCCCTCCCACCTGCCCGCCCACCAATGTCCCTCGGAAGGAGCCGCACAATGCAAAGCAAAAGCTTTTATGACTTTCGCCAAGCACAGTTACCCCAAGGGATCAGCAAAATCTCTTCCTCTGTTCCGACTGACATTTCACAGGTGGACTGCACAAAACTTCCAAATCCTCAGAGAACATACAGCGTCATTCGAAACCACAATGCCACTGGACATTTAAGTGCCCATCCATGGTCCCAGATAAAACAATCGAAGACATTTAGAATGCAATTAGGTCTTAAGTGTGAAGAGGCAGGGATGGAAATGTCACTAAGAAGAAGTCTCTGAGGCAGAGCTAAAGAACAAAACTAAGCAGACTCAATCCGACTCAGATGGAAACCATTGACTCAGGGTGGAAGCCAAGAGCTTGAAAAAGAACCCAGGGGCCTTTGTAAGTTCTCAGAACAAAGGCAAAAGGACTGCATGTACTGTTTCTCTAAATCTGCCTGGTTTAGTGCTCAAAGGCCCATTTCCGGGGCAAACCAGCTTCCTCTGTGAGGGTAGCCTCGTGCTGACCCAGAGGTGTCATGATGACGGGTAGGGCCTCCCTGAGCCCTCACCTCAGCTTCCTCTGTGAGGGTAGCCTTGTGCTGACCCTGAGGTGTCCTGATGAT